CTGTCCCTCAAGTGGGGAGATGAGAGGGAGTCGCAGCAAAAATGAGGGAGCCTCAGTCGAAGTTTCAAAAACAAATAGATATTAAAATACTGCATTCAGTGCTTATTTTGAGACATTCATCAGTGCACCGCTTCCAAAGTTTCTTTTGGCGCATTTGCTTGGAAAGAAATTCGATAATTCCGCGAGCCTGGGCTCTGGAACTTGAACTTAGTTAGGGCAGAAAAAAAAAATTTCAGGAAGCACACCGAACCTCTTACACATAACATGTCAAAATCAGGGAGTCCGACAGTAAAATCAGGGAGTAATTTGGACCTCGACTCACTTAATTCGGCACTGGTATTCCCTGATTTATTGGTAATTATAATTTATAGTATGTTAAGCGACGTAATGTAGTGTACAAAATATATTTTAATGTAATATATAGCGATATATAAGTGACAGACAGTTAAGCGATGTATCGTAATGTAGCAAAAAGTACACACAGATTAAGGTGTATTTTTGGCCACACTGACACAACATGCTACACAACTAACCTACACCTAACTACGCACACTAAACTAACGCATACTAGCTAGATCTACCTACACAACTACACTACCACTGAACCTAACCTACACTACACACACTAACTAACTACGCTAAGCACTAACTACGCACACTCACTACGGCTACAACTAATTACGCTACACATAGAACTACCTACCAACTAACACCTAACCTACCATTGGCCTACGCCTAACGTAAAAAGTACTGTATACTTAGAAAATTAACTACACTATCCGCATGAAAGACATTGCCGAGCACGTATCGCCGTGGGACTGAATGCTACCGACCTTTCCAATCACGGTCCGCAGGAGATCTCGAAAGAATTTAAACGCGCATCGTCATTACAGTGTTGCTACTTCACCGCACCCTACTGCATGCAGTGAAAATTATACGGTTTACATCGCTGACAACGGGGGACATCCCGTGCCCAAGGCAGACCATGCAACCTTGCGTGTAGATTTAATCGATCTCTAAATATTTTCAGAGCATGTAATCATTTAACATCATATGTCATATAGAACAGTGATGCAACGTCACATCACAGCACAACTACTGCTGTGCTTACTAGTGGTGCGACTTGCTGTCTACTGTGGTACTACTGCTACTGCTACTGTGTGGTGGCTGTTGTTGTTACTTGCCTATTTGCTACTGTTGTCCTACTGCGCTACTACGTGTTTGGTGTTAACTGGCTAACTGCTGCTGTACGTTGTGTCTGCCTGCCTACTACGTGGTGTTACCTGCTACTGGGCACTGCTACTGCTACGCTGCTGCCACTTGTTGGTGCACAGTTTGCACTGCTGGTTACTGTGGTGCAACCCTAATAGTTGTATATTTACGTGTTGTGTGAAAACTATCGCGGGCAACGCACCTTGATATCTGGCCGTGTTAATAATGAGCTATCCGCTGCACCAAGCACGAGAAGAACCCTTAACTGCAAGTCCCGCGTTCGCGAAAACTCCAGCTTCTCGCGTGCCTACTACCCGATGACGTAGACCGGTACATCCATCCCGGGTCGACTCTCTGTCAACCTCACAATCTGAAGACAGGGCAAACCAAACAAAGCTGCTTTCATTGCCTCTTCATAGTATGCACGTGGTGTATAACCACCTCACGACACACACACACACACACAATAAAACGCAATATTTACCACAAAAAAATGTAATAATCATGGCAGTGCTGACACCCTGGTACCAACACTGACACTGCAGCAACGTGAACTATATGTCAATGGCAGAGTCAACTGAGACCTGTTCCAAGGGGGTGAGAATAAGCAAGATTGCCAACACATATTGAAAGAATCTATTTCTGCCATTCAAATTTATTAGTTGAGGGTCACGTATGACCGCCGAGTGCTAGGGGTCCGCATGGCCCCCCACCCGCGCCAATTTTTGATTCTGAGAGCAATTCCTCGCATTCTGGGGTCAAATAATACAATAAATGACAAAAAAATAACAAATAATGACCAAAATTTTTTGTGAAATATCGTGGTTTGATACAAACGGGTAGTGGTCAAAAGAAAGAAATCGTAATAAAAACAGCAAAATCATCAGGTTGGCATCTCTCGGATTAGGCTTACATCAGCAAGATCTACCTTCGAACATTTCAGCGGGCTGCAGGTTACTTCGACAATATGCATGTGAAGCGGCTATCTCGTGCTGTGTGCGGTGCTGTTTGGATGCAGACGAATGTGATTGCCATGGTGTGGAAACCCACGAATGCTGGCCTTGTGTCGATGTCCCGTCATCCTAGACACAAACACAACACAATACCACATGAAGACATCCTGAAAATTATAAGTAAAAAGTAGATAAATTCACACATAATTCTAAAGAAACTGATCAATACAAATACAACTACTAATCTAACTTATCTCATTAAGTTAATAGCTCAGCAGAGCAATGGTTCTACAATGTTTTTGTCGACAAAACCAAATTAATATCTGTTTATTGAGGTTAGCTTTGTACCTTTGACTACACCTAAACCCGCATGGACAGAATAAGTGTAACAGTAAGTCAACTGAGTGAGTACTTTAACATTACAAACGCAGCAGATAAGAACACTATTACAGTACACCAAATCTATATCCATGAATTCTGAAAAACTCGAAAAAGCCGCAACGAAAACCGTTTTTCTTGAATGTCCGTCTGCACACTCCAAGCCGCGTTGGCTGCACAAGGTCACTTACGAAATATTAAGGTTGGCATTACTTGCATACATATTGACTGTATCCGTACAAGCATCTGGGCCGCTATAAAAACTTGTTTTTATTATCTAGCAGTAATTTCAGTGTTCAGAATTAAGAAAATTCCCGAATCCCAGAACCGTTCGTCCCTAAGGGTTGTGGATAATAAATTGTGTACTGTATAATCTATAAACACTGAAACCACGTGGCTATCTACATCTATCTCCAAATCGTGCTCGCAGGATTCGGAAGAGCGGTACTCTCACGTCCGAATGTTTCGCAGTTCTGAGGAAGTGTACGATGGTCAGCTGCACCGTCCGCGAGACTGCGGGGATGTGCGGACGGACGCGCTTGCTTACGTGATCGTGTCGACGATAGCCAAAGCACAGTCCACCACCAGCATGAAACTTCTGAAATTTTCAACACAAAAACCATGATAAAACAGAGCAGTGCAAATAACAGTATAGTAACTAGTCAGTAGACACCAAGTCATTTCGTTAAGCTAAGAGCATTAAATCAAACATACTCAAAAACTCAATTGATATACTAAAAATATTTATTATTCATTCTTTAACTTTATCGACCCTTACTTGCCAACATTTACCTTACTTGCCACATTTACCTTACTTTTCCACATTTACCTATTACTTGCCACAATTACCATTCACTCCACAATTTACACTTATACTTGCCCAATTTACACTTACTGCACATATTACTCTTTACTTGCCACATTACCTTTTACGTGCCACATTTACCGCTTACTTGCCACATTACCTATCTACTCCCACAGATAACCGTACTTGCCACATTTACCTTTACTTGCCACATTTACCTTTACTTGCCACATTTACCTTTACTTGCCACATTTACCTTTACTTGCCACATTTACGAATCGTTTTATATCTGTCACAGTTTGCCTACAAACCTTAGAATTTCACCTGATAATAATTATCACAGCCATTTGATCAAATAATTTTATGAGTAAATATAAAATGCGACAACACGAAAAAAAAGAGACACTATAACCTTAATTATGTATTTATTATACATTAAAGAATTACTAGTATCTTTGCTATGTTTATGGCTGCAATGGCCTTCCCGTGATTATTATCATTATCACTAAGAATTACTAGTATCTTTGATATGTTTATGACGGTGATCACCATACCTTCTTCTTCTTCTTCTTCTTCTTCTTCTTATTATTATTATCATTATCACCAAGAATTACTAGTATATTTGCTATGTTTATGGCGGTGATCACCATGCCTTCTTCTTCTTCTTCTTCTTATTATTATTATTATTATCTCCGGGAACTATCGGTACCTTTGGTATGTTTGTCGCTGCCACGCCCATGTCTTCAGAGTTGAGGAACAGGTGCAGGGTTCCGTCGGAGCACACCATCACGCCGACCCGTGTGTTCGCCTCGATGCGCTCCAGCGAAGGCGCAAAGTTCTCATGTATCGCCACATTGTTTTTGCTGACCCGCGACCCTGATATCACCCAGGTGACCTTTGACCTGAGGTCGGCGAGGTGCGAGGCTGTCGCGGGCAGGTTTTCGCGCGGCATCGACTCGTTGATTGCATACGTGGTGACTCCGATCTTCATACAGCCTGCCCACTGCCGCGAGACGGAGTCGATCTGAATCTAGAAGAAACGACGCGAATCTCTTTTACAACTATTGACGCATTTGTTAATTATATCAAGAGCGTATATTAAGAAAGAGAGCGTACAACGGTGAAATGCTGAAACCATGTTGCAGTATTAGTCAAATTAATAAACTTTCCCCATTTTATTTATCGAGATACCTGCTGACTGCCTCTTGCTTTGAGATAACTTTGGGAAACCTCGCGTGTTTCCGTCAATGACTGACAAATGGAATGAATGACGTCTGTTAATGATTGCCATAGCGATGACCCCCACCTGTGCCCACCTCACGCTGGATGTAGTAACCTCTGTAGTACTGACGTAATGAGTCAGCGCTACCATGGCGCTACACAGCGGCGACCGGAAGCAACACACTGGCCACAAAGCGACTGTCGCAGCAAACAGGGATCTCGAGTCGGTTTTCGGCAATTGGTGCTGCTGCTGCTACTACTGCTGCTACTGCTACTGCTGCTGCTACTGTTGGTGCTACTGCTGTTACTGTTGGTGCTACTCCTATTGGTGTTATTATTTAGGTTGTGTGTGGAAAACTAGTCGCTGGTCACGCACCTTGACGCCGTTGTGGAATATTGAGCTACCCTGCACCAGCCACGAGAGACCCTTCACTGCAGGGGCGGTCGGTGGAAGCTCCAGCTTCTCTGGCGGTGTTCCTACTACACCGATGACTAGACCGGACATCCATCCCGGGTTGACTCTGTCAACGCTCACCTGAACGACAGGGAAACCAAGTAAGAGCTCTTCATTTGTCTCCTCAATATTATGCACGTGTGTGTATAACACACACACGCATGTACACCCACGAGCACACACACACACACACACACACACGCACACGCACACGCACACGCACACGCACACGCACACGCGCGCGCGCACACACACACACACCCACGAGCACACACACACACACACAACAAAAACCAAATACCACAAAAACCAATATTTACACAAAAAAGATGTGTAAATAATCATGCAGTTGGCTGACACCTGTGACCAACACTGACGTGCAGTTAACTTGGAACTATGGTCGAATGTCAGATGGTCAACTGATCCCTGTGGTCAGTGGTGAGATTAACTCATCAGCAGAGATCTTACCTCGAACAGTTTCAGCGGCTGCAGGGGTTTACTCGACAGTATGATGCCATTGTTGTAGCTGGCTATTCTCGTTGCTGTGCGGTTGTTGTTGGACAGACGAATGTGATTGCCATGGTGGTTGTGAAACTCCACGAATGGCTGGCCTTTGGTGTCAATGTCCCCTTCATCCTAGACACCAAGACACAACACAATACCACATGATACACTGAAAAATTAGTAAAAAGTAGATAAATTCACAATAATTCTAAAGAACTGATCAGATACAAATGACCAATTACGTAATCTAAACCATTTATTTCCATTTAAGTTTAATACGTTTCCACAGAGCAATGGTTCTCAATGTTTTTGTCGGTACAAACCAAATTAATTCTGTTTATGTGTTAGCTTGGCACCTTGACTACACCTACCGATGGACTAGAAATTAGTGTGCAGTAAGTCACTGGAGTGAGTACTTTAACATTACAACGCAGAGATTAAGAATCACTATTACAGTACACAATCTATTATCCGAAATTCTGAAAACCGAAAAGCTCAGAAAACCGAGTTTTTTCGTGAAGGTCGTCTGCACACCAAAGCTCGCGTTTGGCTGCACAAGGTTCGCTGCAGAAATATTAACAAATAAAGTGTTTGGCATTACTCATACATATTGTACTGTACCGGTACAGCAGTGGGCCTCTTGAAAACTTGGTTTTCATTACTAGCTAGTAATTTTCAGTTTTTCTAGTAATTTAGAAAAATTCCGAATTCCAAACCGTGTCTGGTCCCAAGGGGTTTGGATAATAAATTGTGTACTGTATAATCTATTAAACTACTGAAACCACGGGCTATCTACATCTATCTCCACCGGGGCTCTGCAGGGATTTCGGATGGCGGTACTCACGTCGAATGTTTCGCGTTTGAGGAAGTGTACGAGTGGAGCGCCGCCGCGAGGACTGGCGGGGATGTGGGTAATGGACGCGCTTGTTACGGTGATCGTGTCGACGATGCCAAACACATCCACCACAGCATGAACTTTCTGAAAATTTCAACACAAAAACCATGATAAACAGAGCAGTGCAAATACATATAGTTAACTAGTCATAGACACAAGTCAGTTTCGTTAAGCTAAGGTTAGCATTAATTCAACATACTCAATATTAACTTTCATTGAATTATTATTAATAAATATTTATTATGTTCATGTCTTTAACTTTATCGACCCTTTACTTGCCACATTTACCTTTACTTGCCACATTTACCTTTACTTGCCACATTTACCTTTACTTGCCACCTTTACCATTCACTCCACAATTTACACTTATACTTGCCCAATTTACACTTACTGCACATATTACTCTTTACTTGCCACATTACCTTTTACGTGCCACATTTACCGCTTACTTGCCACATTACCTATCTACTCCCACAGATAACCGTACTTGCCACATTTACCTTTACTGCCACATTTACCGTTACTGCCACATTTACCTTTACTTGCCACATTTACGAATCGTTTATAATCTGCGACAGTTTGTTTAACCTAGTGAAGTTTTACCCTCTGATAATAATTATCACAGTCCAATTTGATCAAATAATTGTTATAAGAAATATAGAAATGCGACAACACGAAAAAAAAAAAGACACGTCCCTTAATTGAGTTTATTATACATTATAAAATTACCGGTATCTTGCTATTTTTTATGTGCGCAATGGCCACGCCTTCCCGTGGATTATCTAGTCATATCAATAACCAATAATTAACTAGTATATTTTGAATATGTAACTGCGTGATTCACCATGCCTTCTCTTCTTCTTCTCATATTATATATTATCTCTGGGGTAAATCACACTCAGATCAATCAGGATATTATCACCATGCCTTCTCTTCTCTTTCGTCTCCTTGCTATTATATAAATCTCCTGGAAACTATCGGTACCTTTTGGTAAATGTTTTCGCTTGCCGACCCCATGTCCTCAGAGTTTAGAACATCAGGGTTCCGCGGTCGAGCACACCATCACAGCCGACGCCGTTGTGTTCCGCCTCGATGCGCTCCAGCGAAGGCGCAAAAAGTTCTCAATGTATCGCCACATTGTTTTTGCTGACCCGGGCGACGACTGATCATCACCTCAGGTACCTTTGACCGAAGGTCGCGAGTGAGGGGCGTGTCACGGCAGGTTTTCACGGTGCGGCATCGACATCGTTGTATTATGCATACGTGGTGACATTTGGCCGGAGCTTGCATACAGCCTGCCCACGTGCCTGCGAGACGGAGTCGATCTGAATCTAAGAAGAAACAAACGCGAATCTCTTTTATCAACTATTCGATGCTAATGTAATTATATCAAAGCGATATTACAAAGGAAAGCTACACAACGGTGGAAATCACTGAAACCATTTGCAGTAAATTAGTGAATAGAAAATAAACTTCCCCCATTTATTATCGAGAATAGCCTGCTGACGCCTCTGCTGTTGAGATAACTTTGGGAAACCTCCGCGTGTTCCGTCAATGATTGACAAATGGAATGATATGACGTCGTAAGATTGCCATAGCGATGACCCCCACCATGTGCCCACCTCACCTGGATTAGTAACCTCTGTATACATGGACGTAATATCAGCCGCTAACCAAGCGCTACCAGTCAGCGGGGGCGACGCGGGAAGCAAACAGCACAATTGGCCACAAAGCGAGCTGTCAGCCAGTCAAACAGGATCTGCGAGTCGTTTCGCGCAATAATCACCTAATTTCACCTGCTCATTATCTTCAGCGAGGAGGCACCGGATGACAACGTTTTTATATTAATAAGGTTAGGACAGTAATCAATAAACGCAAAGAATCGTCAAAATGAAACGGCAAATTCTATATACTAATACTAGTGCCATACATGGTTTCAGGGCATTCACGCGTTGTAATCTTCCATTCTTATATTCGCTCTTGATAATATATATATATAGTTTATTGGACTCAGGAGCCCAATTGGAAATCCAAGAAAGGAATCACTTGTGATAAATGGTCCATCGCCTTGTTTTTTCGCGTGCGTCAAAACAGTAAAGAAAAGGTTGTGGCAGGCTGCGACAGTGTTTTTGTCGAGTGGCGCACCACCGATTTTTTATAAAGTAATAAAATTAAAATAAAATCTAATTCATGTTGTTGTGCCTTATTAATTGTCGTGGAATCAGAGATAATCAACAACCACGGATCAAGATTATTAATTACTGATTCACGAATTTTAAAATAGCTTGAAAAATTTAACGACCGGGAGGGGACTCTGGACTCTAACGGCAGCCGGGACCAGCCATGTCGCACCGGGAACAATCCCGGTACGACGGAACACTTGGATTTTCTATATATATATATTAGTATATCTGTAAGTTAAGGAACACGGCCCACGCATGCACACACACTACAACCCCGACAAACCCACAACCATGCACGCACACTAGCATGCACCACGAAACACACGCAACGCACATACACACAAAACACGCACGTGCACGCACAACGCACATACACAAACACTAAACTCACCTACACCCAATCACAAACCACGCAACGCACGCACGCCACGCACGCACGCACGCGCGCGGGCGACACGCACCGCACGCACCGCACGCACGTCACGCACAGCCTCACGCACCACGCACCGCACACACACACACACACACAGCTAAACTCCCACACACAACACAAACGTGTGTACCTCAAATATCTCGTCGAGTCGCATCGGCTGTGCGCTGAACACAAGCCCGTGGTCATAGCTCTTACTGCGGATTGCCGTACACGCACTGTTCTTCAGCAGTATGTGTTTCCCACAGCACATGCTGAATCGATGAGAGATCTCTGCAATGCACAATGAGTGATCACTCGGTGACCATGTCGCATAAATTAACCGTGACCTTACAAAATCTAAGCAGAGATGCCAACACATATTTCGTGCAATCTGTAGTTTCTGGCTATCAAATTAGTAGTTTGAGGGTGACGTAGTGACCCGAGTTTGTTAGGGGGGTCCGGCATGACCCCCGGAAAATTTTTTGATTCTGAGATGCAATTTCCTGCATTTGCAGAGAGTCAAAAATGACAATAAATTGACAAAAAATGACAATAATTGACAAAAAAAAATTCTTTTTCGATCACAGTGAAATTCGTAGTTTGATACAAACTGGTCGTAGTGGTGCAAAAGGAATAGAAATTCGTATAAAATACGGATAAATCGTAGTGGTTGGCATCTCTGTCTAAGGGTCCCCTGGTCAAAATGTAACCCAATAAATGCCACGTTCCACTCTAGTCTATTCCACGCTTTTTTACGAGGTACTTTATTATCTTATGGAATCTGTGAGATGCTGGGACGTGAATAGACGTTGGAAATTTTTCAGACTTTACACACAGTGTATGCTTTACTAGTGCCGTGTTGAAACATTTGTACTTCATGCAGAAACTTGACTGAAGAGTGCAACCTCATTTCTGCAGAAAATGTGTCAATATAATAACAGGGTGCAAAATTAACGGGAGTCCGGAGTCAAAAAACTCCCTGATTTACTGTCGGACTCCCTGGTTTGACAAATGCAGGAGTCCGTGTGACTCCCTGAAAATTCTGCCATACTAACTCGTTCGTTCCAGAGCACGGCCTCGCGGAATTATCGTATTTTTTCAGCGAATATCCAAAGAAAATTTGGCAGACGTGCATCGTATAAATCTTCAAAATAAGCACCTGCGTTATTGTTGTTATGCTTTAGTTTTGAACTTCAGACTGCGGACTCCCTCATCTTGCTGCGGACTCCCTCTTTTTGAGGGCAGGGAGTCTTTTGGACTCCCCTGTTCAAAAGTTAATTTCTACCCCTGTAATAACGTAGGATTATTCTGCAATGAGTCGGCGCGCACCTGTGATGAATGGCACGGAGGGTGGGTCAGAGTCTATCGCAGCGCGACTGTGGTTCTCTGGCTGCACCCTGGTCGTCTCACTCTTGATTGAAACCTGCGCGCACTGTCCGTACAGATCCACAACCGCATACACACCTGTGCTGGCAAAATTAGTAATATCATTGACACACAAAACGCAGATGACGAGACGATATTTCCAATGGGATGAATAAACTCGGTGAATTGAATAAACAAATGAATTATCGAGAGCAAAATGCCAATGTGATCGTTCAAATGAATCAAAGCGAAACGACAAAAACGGCACTGGGTAACTGGGTAGATAGAAGTCGCACCTGAGGGAATGTCAACGCAGGCGACGCCCATATCAGCACCATCGACGTAGTAGTGTAGCGTGCCATCACTGAGGCGGGACATACCAATGCGCGACCCCACAGTGAGCGTGTCAAGGTCACAGGCATAGCCATTTCTGATGGTCGACCCATCCTGACAATGAAATGGAAGATTCGCTTTGAAATTATAATTATTGTGATGTAAATACATTACTATTCATATGTAATATTCATATTCATTCATGTTATACATTCTATTTACAGAGAATACACCTCTACTGAACAGGACAGGATGAAGGTTTTTCGATTTAATATAAATAAGATAAACATTATGAATTTCAAATTGCATCAAACTGCATTTTCAATACAGTTACCACAATATTATAAGTGTACCTAGTATATCTATTCCTGATTAGTACAGGAATGAAAATCATGCGCTAAATTAAATAACGGACAAGAACTGCTCTTCCTTTGCAGCAACATTACAGTTTTTGCATAGCTTGTTTTTAGCTTGCCTTTTCCGTCTTTGCCTAACCTACGCCCACACGCTCCGTTTGCCCAATTTAGACCCCTTTCTTCTCTTTGCTCAGCTTTTTTACGCACTATTAACAATGCACATTAAACGAAAAATATTAACGTGACTTTGTAAGCTACACATCTGCACTGACCGATTATCTAGAATCGAACCATCGCCTGACATCAATGGTTTTACAGGCGGCTATTGCTGACCCATGTAGTTTTTTTACTTGTAATTTTGGGTATGGACCCATACCCTACAAATATTTTTGGGTATGCAATTTTACCCTTTTACACTCCTGGCAGAAACCCTGTGGCGTCCATCGCTGCCCCGTGTAATTTTTTTACTTGTAATTTTGGGTATGGACTCATACCCTAGAAATATTTTTGGGTATGGAACTTTACCCATTTACCCTCCTCAGGGTATTAGCCAGGAATGAGTAATGTAGGAATGCAGAGAAAAATTATTTGGGAGTGAAATTTTTACAATGTACACGGCTTTAGAACAATATTTTAGGCCGTGCTACGCATTTTTTGCCGTGCAGTTTCCTCAAAACTGACCGTGCAAATCACGGCTGCCCGACTAATACGTTTACACTCATGGCAGAAACCCTGCTGTGGCCATCGCTGCCCCGTGACCTCACCTGCATGATGGCCGACCCGCTTAGCATCCACGTCTCATAGTCGATGTCCGTCATCGTGTTGGGGAACTCCAGCTCATCCGGTTTGATCGTCGTCATGCCTGCGACGCAGCGATGAGAGAGAGAGAGTGAGAGTGAGTGAGTGAGTGGGTGGAAAGAGAGATAGAGAGAGATAGAGAGAGAGAGAGAGAGAGGAGGGAGGGAGAGAGAGAGAGAGAGAGAGAGAGAGAGAGAGAGAGAGAGAGAGAGAGAGAGAGACAGGGCGCGAGAGAGCGAGAGAGGGAGAGGAAGATCTGATTATCGATAGCTAGTGTTATAGCCGAGAAATACATACGTACAGGGGATCGCCGTGTCATGAACGCAATCAGTTCAGTTTTCGCTCATAACTTCAACTGCATCGATTTGTGAAACGTTGGTTTTGGTTCATACGTGTGCGTTATAAGTCGTAGAGTTTGCAGATATTAAATTAAATATAAAGTCAGGGCAATAAAGTCCGGATCTTCGTGAGTCAAATATTTGTAAGTCTGGCACTCCCTGTATTTAAAATGCATATGAGTGTCATCACAAGAAGCACGAGGGAGAGCAAATGCAACTCCGACCACTCGTAATCACAGTGTCCTTCTAAATAAAATGCGAATGAGTTCTGCTGGGTCCACACTCTAACATCGCACTCACCTGCTTCTATAGAACCAGACCATCGCTCAACCATCTTCTCAATCATGACTTCGAAAACCTCTCCATCTCCCAGAGGACGATTTGACATCACGATGGCATCGTTAAACTCACCTGCATATAGAAAACACAGTTAACTCACCTGCACATAGAAAATGTGGATAACTCCCGAGCTACTGACTCGATACTTACATGCACACATCGCTGCGCAGGCAACGACCTTATTAAGATTGACATTCTCACTCTACCATGGGTATCCAATCGAAGGAATCTTCTCAAATAAGGGTTATGGGGGTGCAGTAGGGAGTGTGACGGGTGGAGGTACAATCGGGCATAAGTCGACACTTTCTTGATGGTCAACATTGCCTAGCCATTATAAAAGTCCTCACTCAAGAGCGAGTTCACATGAATTGCACTGGTTACCTTTGGTGCCTCTACAGTTACACACATAAATACATTTAGCCGTCACCAGGAACTCATGTGTCAAGAGGTACTGATATGGTTGAGAACCACCGAACATTTACACAATTACTGCCACATAGATGCACACACTTACAACCGACATCAAAACTTGAAACATTAGGCATCATTGCTAACCGTGTGCGTTTGGCCGGGAAGCGGTCAGGCCTCCTGCGGTGATGACAGCATTCTTCCCATGCTGCTGATGGAAAAGAAGCTGAGATGCCTGCGTGGAGGAGGAGTTCACCGCCTCCTCTCTGTCCGTGCCAACGCTACTGCTGCTCGTGGTTGTTACCTTAGCAACAGGAGGCAGGGGAAGCCCTGCAAGTGATGCAGATGTACGTAGTGTTTAATGAGCTGAAGCAGAGTTCCTCAGTGAAATGAACATGTACGCACACACATACACATGTACACACAGGCCACTTCCCCGCACACATGTAACGCGACACACCACCATGTACACAACACAGAAAGTGGCAGATGTCGGTGCGGGGTCCCACATGCATTCACCGGCGCACACACACACATATGGCGCACGCACATGCCACATGTACGCACTACACACCCACCACACACATTACGCATGCTCATGCACACACACACACATCAGAGCCCACCATAATTCTATCCACATAGCAGAGAAGCCGTCGCTATACACAACGCGCCGAGTGATCGAGCGAGATGAGCTCCGCGCTGCCTGTCCCCATATGAGGTCGAGACACCGATAAACAGGTTCCGGTATCGTCGCGGCTGCGCGTCCTCCTGGCTGTGCGCGTTGACATAGAAGTGCAGAGTGCCGTCCGCCTTGCGTCATAACTCCTACCATTTGCTCCAACCGTGCGAAGAAGATCGCTCGTTGTGTTTGTGTTGTTGACAGCGTTCCCGAATGACAGAGTGAGAGGCTCGAGCGGTCCTCAGCCGCTCTTCACTCAGCCATCGAGCGATGGCCATCCATCACCAAACCCTGCACACGGGCGCCCCCCTCCATCACCACCTCACAACGTTGGCGGCGCCCCTCACTCCATCATACACCCTCACACGTGCCGCCACCCTCCCTCATACACCACCTCGAACACGTGGCGCCCCCTCCCATCATCACCCTCACACGTGGCGCCCCCTTCCATCATGCACCTCACTAGAGTGGCGCCCCCTCCATCACAACCCCACCCTGTGCGCCCCCTCTCCATCATCACCCTCACGCGTGGCGCCCCCTCTCCATCATCACCCTCACACGTGGCGCCCCCTCTCCATCACCACCCTCACGCGTGGCGCCCCCTCTCCATCATCACCCTCACGCGTGGCGCCCCCTCACCTTCACCACCTCACCGACGTGGCGCCCTCCTTACATACACCACCCTCACGCGTGGCGGCATCCTTCCCATCATCAACTGCGTCCGCCCTATGAGGCATGCCCTTACTCTCCATCTACCACCGTCCCGTGGACGCCCTCCTCATACATCTGTTTGGCTGACGACCGTCAAACACAAACTGAAACGGCGTGCGCCCTGTGGCCCGGCTCGTCACATTCCCCATCCACGGCACTGCTAACGGCGCCTTTGTAGAATTTCGTGACGTTTTTTATTCAAAGTTTTGGGTGGGATGAAATTCATTAAAATAAGGCATTTGGCAACTTAAAGGCAATTATTAGGCTTAAGGTATATTACTGTGGTTTGTCTGATCGCCCGGTCCTGTCCTCGGCAGGCTAGACAAGACAGGCGAGCTCTACGCAGTGGGCACGTCGTTTTTCCAGCTAGACTGGATCTGAATAACCCTACCCATAGCGTCCCTCTGCCATATCAGCCTCAACCTGCATGGCGCCGCAATCCTCCACACACACTTCAACCGACTCGAGAGATATCACTGTCCTGTAACGCAAGCCGAGGATCGCGTGCGTTATAGATGGACTCTCACCTTGCGCCGCCGCAGCGCGCCCGTTTCCCGTCATCATCCACGTTCCCGAACGCACGTTTGTCATCGTCGACGGGAAGTCAAGGTCGAGAATCGGCGGCTGCGTTCGTACGTCAGACCACCGATCTCAACCCCCGAGCCCAACCCCACACTGACCTAATGTCGACGACCCCAATTGTCTATCTGGATCTCGAACAACTCGTTCGGCCGCAGCGGCCGATTCGTTAGCACGACCGCGTTGTTGAAATCAACGATGGCGCTGAGGAAGCAAAAGAGGCTGGGTTTGAAACAGCGTTAGTCGTGCCGTTAATTATAAACTATATTAAATAACAATGTATTAATATATTATACACTATTATTATAATAATTATACACTAATTAAACATTAGTGCTATCTAACGACTTGATTTCTTGTTTTGGTGCTGAAAGCGTTGTTTGCAGGATGTGTTACTTTGTTGTTAAACAATCCAGATCTAAGATCTAATTCAGAACTTAGGGAACTCAACATTTTAGAGTTAGGTTTCATGTACTAAATATTATTATACAATATATGCATTAATTACAGACATGTACACGCATTCACACACAAATAATTATAATGATTGGTCATTTCTTAATATGTCCTACAGTACTTATGGGCACCAAGAAAAATCTCACAATAAATGAAAGTGTCAATGACACTGTAGCTCACCTTGGGTGTGATAGAAGAAGGAGGGGGGATATATAAAGCAAGAGTATATATGGAAGGACACCCATTATATAGCATATCTCCCATTATATACCCTTGATAATGATATATGCATAAGTTTTGATGCGAAAATAAATGTTTCAGATCTGAAGTCTGAAATCTTGACGAGAGATGGTGCTATGCCTGCCCAAATGATCGCCATTTTGGTTTTCGAATATCGTGCAAATAAAAACAAGTGCCGCGAAGTGACAGCGCTCATCTCACGTCTACTGCGGTGACTCTGTGGTGGAGTGGTGGGATTCTAGTAAACCCTGTTAGTCCCAAATGCGTTCACATACGCGCCGTAACAGTGGAAGACACAGGGATGGTATCAGGAACCTTCTCGAAGGAATGTTAGTTGGGATCGTTATGAAAGTTGCCACGAAATGGGGCATACGTTTAAGTGTCTTAAGATTAAAGATGGAAGCTCCCATCGTACGTAGTAGCAACAACTATTTGCAAGACAGAATAAGTAAGCACACATCCATTTACCTATGCAAGCCTACAAGCTGAAATAGAGAGCTGCCACCTGTAACTAGTTACGAGGCCAAAATAACATGTCTATCCACACATGCACTGGCAGTGGCTACTGGATGTTTGGCATGTTTACATGTAAACACACTGACAGTACAGAATGCCTAGAATGTATAGTTTAGGCAGCATAAACCGTCTTCAACCAATTTAGCTTTTGAAATTTTCACTGTGACATTGTAGCTATGCGTCAGGCATGTATAGATTCTACTACACCCGGCCGGTCAATTCTTTCTAACAGTAACAAATCCATGTTTACATCCTGTGAGCGCGTCAAATGGTTTATACGACTTACGGTTTCGCATGTCGCAGCAAGTCTTCATTGGTCTTTCAATTAAAGCAATAAAATGGTAGGTCACCGTGAAACAAAAAAGTGTTTCATAGCTCCGTCAGACCATGCTCCTTCAGAAATGTCTAAAATCTGCCCTGTGACATTGATTTGACTGTGACCGTCAATTTCGAGACCCAGTGATGGCTTTCTACCTGATGCTATACACGACTATCACGGAGCATAGTTCGAGCCGTTTATATTTGTGCGCAATTCTGCATTTCCTCCCTATACTTAAGTTAAGAGGAATGTTCCCCCTTCTTTGTAACACTCTTGTACTTGACTTTGACCCCATCTTCGATTCCATTGTGGTGTTTCGGATTACCCATCCGACTTCGAATCCCATACGTCAAAGCGTTTTAGGATTTGTGCCCAACTGTTGAACGGACGCGGCGGACGCGCGATCATGCGATTCTACAAGCTGCATCTGCTAGTCAGATGAGTAACAATAAAATATTCAGTTCAACTACTGTACAAAGTCTAAACAATATTACGACTGTATATTGGTATGATTGTGAGTTGTTCACGTTAGACGAATAAGTAAATAGGACGTTGTCGATCTCTTATTAGGCTAAACTGTTTTGCGGAGGTTAGACTTAAATTACTATACCAAATTTACAAATCGAGTATTGATTTAGATGGCCATTTTCATTTTTGCCAAAACTTGGGTCGTGGCTAGAATGTAGTGGCTTAATGCTGCGTGCTCCAAATGGGTTCAAATCTCCACTAGGAAGTACAAACGATATTGCATTAAACTGTGGATCAACGGTTCTGAGTTATCTGGTTGGGACCGATAGCAAATGTGATTGGACGACGGACGGCACCCATGGCAATGCTCGATCTGGACGATGTCAAGGCGAGCTAAAAATCAAAAGCTATAGCAGCAGTGATATCAATATCTTTGGCAATAAAGTCACATAACAAGTGATAATGCTATGTAAAGAGATTGATCGAGATATTCAGAGCAACAGAGGCACACAAACTTTGGTCTGATGGCAGCCCGGCCACCGTCCACGACACGTGCGTGAGTGCCACAGTGAGGGTGAAACAGTAGCCTGTCTGCGTCCAGGTCAGGAGAGGGCAGCACTGGCATGGGTATATCTGAAACAAACCACACTGACAATACATCATGGTTCTCCTGCCGTCGCGGACACCCAATCATAACATCTCAGGTCAACTTTTATGGTAAACTTGGTCAATTTATGATTGGTTTACGATTTATTTTATTTTTATGGTTCATGGTTATGATCGATTTATTTATATATTTTATTTATTTATCGAAATTATAATATAAGTCAGGTGCATCGTGTGTAGTAAGTATTGTAACATGTTGTAACAAAGCCTATATGTGACACTCGCAAATGTGAAATCGGTGACTCTCAAACTCTAAAATACGCTTTACCCGTCATGTACATTTGTGATAGTTGTTGGAAGAGACTCTGAGCTCTGGTTTCGAAGTTCACACCAAACGTGCGAGCGATACTCTGGACATTGTCATCGTCTGTAAGCTTCACCTTCACAGCCATGCCTATCAACGACGTCACAATGCCAAGAACAATTTCCAATCACTACAACTACATTTCCACGAAGAACAAGTTGAAAATTTACTTTTCTTTAAAACGTTACTTTTCAACCACAAGTTTATTTCAATACATTTTCAGTTTATATAAATTATGAAGCTATCTATCTATCATAAAAATGCTTTATTTAGACATGTATGAAAGTTGCAAATTGCACACTATACAAACATAGTTCGTGCTGTAAGTTTGGTCTATAATAAAATATACGACCATCTAGCCGTTTGAGAACCAGAGCCGACAGTAGAGATGAAATGGCGAGTTTTAGTGCTTTGCTGTATGAAGTTTGTCTGACATATAATCATGATGGTGAGATCTAGTGACGCAACTAGCGTTCTACGATATCACTCACATAGATCAATGAGCAAAAACGTGTTAGGCACTCGGTGGGCGCAAAACCTGATCACTTCATTAATGTTAGATGCATGATCCATTGTGCTTCCGCATTAGACCTATCGATCTCCTCCTTATGGGAGAAAAATCAGTGACTCTAAATTAACGGTTTAATCAAAAACGTCTGCATGATGGTGACAGCTTCAACAGGGAATTGTGACAATGCTCAGCTTGGATTGGCATTGCCTGGAACCAATGCTTGTGTGAAATAATTATAAGCGTTCCCACAGGTTATTAGCAAGCATTGACATGTTTCACCACCAACGTCGAAGGTTAAAATCGCATACTATCTACCTGGTTGCCATTTTCCTTGGTAAGTTAGGCAACACCCACCAGCATTATTGTTCCTGGAAGATGATAATTCAGACTTGTATGACTCGATGATTCACACAGATGTGAACCATCTATACAACAAGAGACGTATTTAAGTATGAGAGGTCGCAGGGTGAATGCAACACAACCTTTTTGTGTTTCAGTGGATTAGTCAATGTTAACGTTTATTTTGAATTTTTGTCGGTTTATCTTCAGCAGGTCCTTATTTTTGACAATATAATACCGACGCTGTCTATCAACGAATGTCCTACCGATGAGAGTTTAGCGGTCAATATCTAGAGTTTTGGCGGAAAATGGACGCAGGTTGGTGTAGATGACGGACGGTCTGCGTTTAGTGATGATTCGGGGAACCTCGGGGATTTCGTCATTCATTGAAAATGGAAGGTTCCCTTTTTCTCGATCTTTTGTGCCCATGGTGATGGACCGATCTTACGCGTGGATTTTAGTAAACTCTCGTGTAATGAAATCACATGAGTCAGCGTTTACACAGCGGCGCCGAAAGCAACCACTGAACATCTAAACGCCGCTATAGCTGCAACTCGAGTTCTATTTTCGCCAAACATGATTTTTACCGCTTGAATTCTCAGCGTAGGAACGTCGTATGGACCAGCGGTTGTTTTTATTTATCAAGGTAGGACAGCTGAATTAAGAATCCGCAAGGGATTGTCAAAATAAAAACGGGTTAAGTTTACTATTCCAAGTGAAACCTACAACATGGTTGTTCATTTCACGTTGTCGCTCCTGCTCTTAATACGTCTAATACAATAAATAGACTGATGAAGAACTAACTGCTTATTGGCTATAGATTTTATACCGACATTAACAACACGAAATGTTCACCAGCACTGGCACATGCTGGTAATTATTCGGAGGTCTTTTTATCGGTGACTTTGCAAAAACGGCTCAGTTTCAGAGTTACTGTCATAGTGTTGTTTTCATTGGTTTTGCTTATTCGCGTTGATTGCATACTGACAGGTCAGTATGAGCTGTACAACATTACATGTACGTATAAGTACATTTTTTTGCCGCTAACCGGTAAACCTCTGAATCAACCAACACCAAGCAGTTAGCTTCAGGAAGAAATGCCGCAGACAAATCAGCACACAATGCTATTATTGAATTCTGAACTAAATGTCCGAAAACGAAAGTTTTTTTTGATGGCAGTATCTGTACTCAAGGCTGCGTTTTGGCTGCAACGATTCACTGCAGAATTATTAATGTAAGTGTTTGGCATTACTCATACTATGTACTGTACGAGGCTCAGCAGTGGGCCCTTGAAAACTCTTGGCGTTTGGTATGACTAGTTTGCAGGATATATATGGGTATGTATAATCTGTACTGGCAGTACATTTTTCAAAATCCGAAACGCATGTCTAGTCTCAAGGGTGTTTCGGATAAAGAGGTGTGTCTGTATCAGTATACGAATAAATGTGATATATATATGTGAGATGTGATTAGATATCTGACATCGAGATGTGAAAATTAAGAAAAGATTACCCAGTCATTAAGGCCTTTTTTTTATTTAAAGCAAGTAAAATTTGTGGAGAGCTATTACAGTATTTATGGAGGGCTGAGGTAAACATTAACTGCTACTGGTTATCTGTTGCTGTGCAAACATCCTAAATGGTATGCAGCGTGACGAAATTAACGAGGTCCGGAGTCAAACTATCATCGATTTCTGTTTGGCATATATGGCGGAGTTCCGTGTGACTCCTTGAAAATTATGCTATATAACTAGTTCGTTCCAGCATGGGCTCGCAGATTTTTGTGTGTAGCAAATGTCCAAGAAATTTGGGCAGCGTGCAACAGCTGATCTTTCAAAATAAGCGCTGTGATGCGGTTTTGTTAATATCTTTGTTTTGGATTTCAGCTGCAGCTCCTCCTTTGGATGCGGGCTCCTCTTTTTAACAAAAAAAAACAAAAAATTGGGCAGAGAGTCCGTTTATACCGTCCATTATGCTTACGACCTGAATCTCTATGTTTGTCATGGTTGCTTGGAAAGTTTCATGCGTGTTCGGATTTATGAGGTGGTGATGGCAACTTCTATTCGAGCCTGACATTGATTCAACAATCTGGTCTGCTATTATCTGAAAACCATATGGTTTTTTTGATGTACATAAATGATATGTACGATATCAGCTGAACATTTATGGCATTTTTATATCATTAAAAACACTTATATAAAGTGAAAATATAATATATTATAGCTATTACCATCTCCAGATGGGTCTCGAGTGGGTCGATCTGCATTGGGATAGGCGCGTTTAACCATTTATCTCTCACTTTTATTGAGATGTGTATTTCAGTAAACGAAATATTTAGACTCGAGTCAGATATATCAAGTATTTGTTTTAAAAAAATTTGTATCTAAATATATATAATCTGAATTTTACTTAAATTGAGAAAAAATTTTCAGGGAAATGAAGGGTGTTTTGTTAGTTTTACAATTTCACTTATTTATATATTATTTTTGAAAATAATCATTTCTAGTTAGCAAGATCAATAATAGTCAATGTCTTAAAAGGAGAAAGATCGAGTGTTTTTGATAGGATATTGTTTCTTGAAAGTAATGGATGGTTGGCAGGCAGGGTTACACTTCCCGTTGTCATCTTGCACACCGAACACCACACACACATCACACACACAGCACACACCGCATTCACACACATACGGCAGCGCAACACATATCACCACGCGCACCAAAACAAACTTACCACATTTCACACAACGGGGCGCGCAAACATACACGCACATACAATGCAGCGTCTCTTGTTGGGGGTTTGTCTTAAAATTTTTATCGCTCACAGCTGTTCGCGCGCAGTGAATTGGTATGTTTATACACCGCAGCCGCAATGGATTTGGTGTGTGGCGTCGCTGTTGCGCATCGCGGATTTGGCGATCTTTAAATTTGGTGGGGTTTCGATGAATGACGAAGTTTCTTCGGCGAACATAACTTTTAGGAATTTGCCTCCAAGTCACGTTTACGATCGAAAAATTGTGTCTCTAAGTAAGCGGCATTATTTGGCGACGACCAGACAGGGCCCAGCTCGATTGGCGTGAATAGCAGGCCACGGTTCTTTGGAGGGATAAGAAAAGAACTTCGGTTTTCTATATTATATATAGATTCTTAATGATATTAATATATTATCGCTAAATGAATATTAAAATGCAGCAATGATCTAAAACTACGCAAAACATTTCTCTATCTGTAGGGGGCGCCAAGATGTGTCATTACCACGCCTTGTTGAACTCATCTAGGGGCGCTTCGTGTTGCTGTCGCGGTCATACTGGATTGTATGAGGGGCATCGTCATGGAACCACATGTCTTTCGTCAGGTGGCTCGAGGCTCCTTGAGTGATTTGTTCCCATGGAAACCAGGCCTCTCATTAATTGCTATTTGCATATGATTCTAGACAGAATAAGTGCTTTCTGATTTCTTTAGAATTGTAAATTAAAAACGTTGACAGCTGATGTGTGCTGTGACTACTTTCACAGTTTCTTCAACTGAATGAATAAAGAAGCCTCTATAAAGGTCACAATGCGCATCCAACGGCTATTTCTCAGTACTAGATAGCAATATTCGTGGCGAATGCATAATCACACTACTTATGACAAATAACTCTAGTTGCCTCCATTTGAGCTGCGGTTTGCTTAAAGCCAACAAGAAAGAGGTGCGAAATCAGGTAATCTGGACGCACGCTATTGTTTGCAAACACTAGCCCGATCTTGGTTTTGGTGACGTCACATGTTTGCTACAGGGTGTTGAGCAAGGAATTGTTGTCCCCGGGTAATGTTTGCATAGTGACGACAAGGCAGTCGCAGGTTCGAAAACGATCCAAGCAGAAGTCGTGAAAAAATCGTATTTGATTGTTTAGGCTTGATTATCGTAAATAGCGCGACATTGCGATAGCAGCGTGCAATGAGAAAAACGCAACGGGCCGTAGAATCTTTAGCTCAACCCGCTTGGACGTTGCCTGCAGAGCAACGCAAATTGATCACAAATCGGAGAATTTGAAAACAGTGGACGTGTATTGTTAAATACTTTTATAAGCAACTTGGCGCAGTGAATGGGAGGCACTGAGTTTTTTTGTCATCAGGTGTGTGTTATTTCTGCCACGATAGTATTTGTAGTCTAGTACTGTAGATTAGCGTTGGATGGCTTGTGAGCTTGTAACACCTCATGCCTGTATGGGATTTGGGCTCCCTGTTTCGTCATTTCGGTGTTGCAATCTAGGCAGTTAACTCAACATACATACAGATTATGGTGCAGCAAATAAAGTTTGATCGATGATCTAAATTTTTATCGCTAGCAACAAACATAGTCTGTCGTTCCCAACCTATAGGCCATATAAAATTTGTCTTGTTTGCCCTCCCGACAACTTCGCCGAAAAGGGCGACTAAAAAATTTATTGATCTTTTTTCCCATCTTTTTTTTCTTATCTCTTTTGTAAAGTTTTACAATTGTACAATGTTACATTATATTAAATCTGTGGCAATAATTTATTGTACCAAGCAAAACAAACATCTTTAACATACAGGTATCTGCCAACAGCACACGAGCATGTAGACCATGTGATTTGGTAAAAAAAAAACCTAAAAAAAAGCCTACCTACCTACCCAAACTTTTCAGCCTGGGTCGGGTGAGGGCTAACAAACATTTTTTTAATTGTGGCCTTATGTCTAAGAATGCACCATGCTACTACATTCACACTTACGCCTCTCAATGGTCTCTGTCACAGTCACCTGCACACACTTGCCATACAAGTCGATAACGGCAAAAACTCTCGCAGGAATATCCGACGCGGCTAAACCAAAGTCCTGCCCATCGACGAAGAAGTGGAGCGAGCCACTCCTGGTGCGCATAACACCAACTCGGTCACCTTCACATAACTGATCAAGGTCATAGCCATACTCCTCCACGATTGACCGTCCATTCTGCATTGAAGCAACATTTATGTAGGCTTTTTGTGATGCTACTGGTACAGCTAACTATGCACTACTGACTAGTGGCATGAAGGTATCCATTTGATTGTGCTAGGACTCAACATAAAGTTGATCATAAGGCAACTTAAGCACATTCCATACTTAAATATTGATACTGTAAATCAAATTAGTGAATATATTACATACCATAAGCACACAACTACCAGATAACACCCATGTGCCTTCTCTGAAGTCTGTGGCACTGGCAGGGAACTGGAGGTTGTTTGGATCGCATGTTGTTACACCTATCTCTATAGAACCACTCCATGAATTTATCTGAAGCAAAATTGTAAAATGAAAAACATTTAGTAATCAGTAGCATACCACCACACTATAACTTGATCATCAAAAATATATTTTACTATTATTACTCAAATAGTAGATTAATTATTATTGGATATTGGGAGCACAAATAATCCGGTACACCGTGAGATTGCTTCTTTGTGACAGATATGTAGTGTTCTGTTGCCTAGCATAGGCTAGCGCATTCATGACACTAAATATATAATCAGGGTGCAAAATTAACGGGAGTCCGGAGTCAAATACTCCCCGATTTACTGTCGGACTCCTTGATTGGACATATGCAGGAGTACGTGTGACTCCCTGAAAATTCTGCCATACTAACTAGTTCAGTCCAGAGAATGGCCTCGCGGAATTACCGTATTTTTCAGCTAATGTCCAAAGAAAATTTGGCAGACGTGCAACCGCATGAATCTTAAAAACAAGCACATGCGTTATTGTTAATATCTTTAGTTTTTATTAGACTGCGGACTCCCTCTTTTGGCCGCAGACTCCCTCTTTTTGAGGGTAGGGAGTCCTTTGAACTCCCTTGTTCAAAAGTTAATTTCTACCCCTGTATATGTTATCAGGTATAATGTAGCAGGATAGTTTATAATGGTGAGTTAGCCTTTGTCTAGCAGTAGTGTTAGTGCTATCTTTTATTTTCTTCTTTATTCTAGTATCACAGCACAAATACACATCCAAGTGCCTCAATCTTTGTATCTGTTAACAGCTCATTATTCAATTGTTAGAATCACTAACATTTTTGTCTGGGCATTCTTTTATTTACCCTGAAAAGTCTTACATAATCCTGTGAATTTTTTTTCACTTAATGGCAATGGAAATGGTAGTAAATAGCACCAGCACACGTGCTCTGTGTTGAGCTACACCCCACTTCTGTGATCCAAGACGAACTCTACCAGGAGGTTGAGTCAACTCTGTATCTCGGCGTAATTCTCTCTAACACCCTGAAGTGGGACAAACATATCAATAGTTTATGTGCGAAAGCCAACAGCACCCTTGGCGTCGTCAAAAGGAATCTGAAATACGCGCCCAAAACGCTGAAAGCCACAGCATACAAATCTCTCATTCGGTCTAAGCTAGAGTATGGCTGTACAGTCTGGGACCCACATTTTTTTTAAAAACGTTGAAAAAATTGAAATAATCCAATTCTGCGCAGCTAGATTCATCTGCAACGATTATGGCAGAACTAACAGCGTAACTGCAATGTTACAATCACTTAATTGGCCGAATCTTCAACTACGCTGTAAAGAAAAGCGACTCAACCTTCTCAACAAAATTCTCTCTGAAAGTACCGCGATCCCCAAAGTCCAGTACATCAGGATGGGTCCATCGCGCACAAGGAGCAAAAATGACAACAAACTCGCAGTCATTAGAACCTCAACAGAGGAATTTAAGAACTCATTCTTTGGAGTGGACTGGAATGCCTGCACACAGACCGTAATCGACGCCATCTGTGTCGCGGTCGCAGCCGGGAGCACCTAATTTTACCATGCCCCACCACCTGCATCATAATACGCGTATACGCGGTCGACGCAGTACACAATCAAGATCAAGATCAACACCACTTATCACTAAGTATGAACTAAGCCGAACCAGGCGCACTGAATAAACCTACGCAAATAACGAATAGCACTGGTGCGGATATTCAGATATCCAACAGAAGTCATGCAGCGGCAGCAGTGTAGCAGTTGCAGTTGGCAGTTAGTTAGGCCGCGATACGTGCCGTGGTATGGAGTGGGTACAAATAATTCGTATTTATTTACTATCACTTTATTATCGTCACAACCATGTGGTGGCTGTAGTCGCTAACATATCCATACTACGGCACATCTTTATTATAGTAATACTAATAGTATAGAAATGTTTATCATCTTCAAGTTCATGGTAATTTTACTGATGAATCAATCCATCAATCAATGTGAATGTCTGAATCATTTGGAAATTTTTACTTGATGTTGTGCTGTAAGTTTGGTCTATAATAAAATATACGACCATCTAGCCATTGAGAAACCAGAGCGAAGTAGAGCATAATGGCGAGTTTAAGATGCATTTGCTGATATGACAAGTCTGTCATGACAATATCACTTCAGCTGGTAGCATCTCAGTGACGCAACTAGCTTCTACGATATCACTCACCATATAGATCAATGACGCCAAAAACGATGTTAGGCACTCGCGTGGCAGCAACACCCTGATCCACTCCATTAATGTAGTAATGCAATGATCCATTGTGCTTTCGCATTAGACCTATCCGATCTCCCTCCTTATGGGAAGAAAAATCAGCGACATCTCATACACGGTTAATCAAAACGTCTGCATGACGGTGACAGTCAACAGGAATATGTGACAATCTCCAGCTCTGATTGGCATGCCAGGAAACCCAATGCTTTGTGACATAAATTAAATAAAGCGTTCCACACGGGTTTTAAGCAAGCATTGACATGTACTTACCACCAATTCATCCAGGTTAAAATCGCCATACTCTCTCCTGGTGCCTTTCCCATTGGTAAGTATGCCACACCCACTCATCATTATTGTTCCTGGAAGATGACATTGACTGATGACTCGATGATTCACACAGATGTGAACCATCTATACAACCAAGAGCGTATTAAGTATGAGAGCGTACAGCGGTGAAATGCAACAACCTTTTTGTAGTTTCAGTGGAATTAGTCAACTTTACCCGTTTCATTTTGACAATTCTTTGTGGTATTATTATTCAGCAGTCCTACTTTGACAATATAAAACCGACCGCTGGTCTATACGATGTCCCTACGCTGAGGTATTAAGCAGTAAAATCTAGAGTTTTGGCGAAAATCGGACTCAGGTTGGCTGCTAGCTGCGACTGTCTCGCGTTTAGTGATGACTTCGGGAAACCTCGAGGATTTCCGTCATTCATTGACAAATGGAATTCCCTTTCCTTCTACGATCTTTTGTCGCCATGGTGATGACCCGCATCTTACGCTGGATTTAGTAAACTCTGTAGTAATGACATAATAGGTCAGCGCTACACAGCGGCGACCGAAAGCAACACACCGAACACTAAACGCAGCTATAGATGCCAACTCGAGTTCTATTTTCGCCAAAACACTAGATTTTACCACTTAATATCTCAGCGTAGGGACATCGTATGGACCAGCGGTCGGTTTTATATTGTCAAGGTAGGAATGCTGATAAAAAATAAGGCAAGGAATTGTCACAATAAAATGAGTAAAGTTGACTAATTCCACTGAAACTACAACATGGTTGTTGCATTTCACCGTTGTACGCTCTCATACTTAATACGATCTTGATACAACTATATAGACTGATGAAGCCTAATGATATTGGCTATAGATTTTATCCGAACATTAACAACACGAAATGTTCACCAGCCCACTGGCACATGCTGGTAAATTATTCGGAGGTCCTTTTTTATCGGTGCCTTTTGCAAAACACCGGCTCAGTTTCAGAGTTACTGTATAACTAGTGTTGTTTCATGGTTTTGCTTATTCGCAGTTGATTCATGCTGACAGGTCAGTATATAGCTGTAGACCATATACATGTACAGTATCAGTACCATTTTCTTGCCGCATAACCTGGTAAAACCTCTGAACAAAACACCAAGCAGTTAACTTCAAAGAAGGAACATGCCGCAGAACAAAACTACAGCACACATACTATTATCTGAAATTCTGAAAACCTAAATGCTCCGAAAACGGAAAGTTTTTTTGTGGCAGTCATCTGTACACCAAGGCTCGCGTTTGGCTGCACAGGGTTCACTGCAGAAATTATTAATGTGTTTGGCATTACTCATACATATTGTACTGTACCGGTACAGCAGTGGGCCGCTTGAAAACTTGGGTTTTGGTACTGGCTAGTTGCAGGATATACGGTATGTATATCTGTACTGTAGTACCATTCCAAAATCCGAAAGATTCCGAATTCCGAAACTTGTCTGGTCCCAAGGGTTTCGAATAATAGAGTGTGTACTGTATCAGTATACGAATAAAAGTGATATGTATATGTGAGATAGTGATAGATATCTGAACATCAGAGATGTGAAATTAAGAAAAAGATTATCCCCAGTCAATTTAGGCCCTTTTTTTTATTTAAACAGCAAGTAAAATTTGTGAGAGCTATTACATTTTTGGGAGGGCTGGTAAACATTAACTGCTACTGGTTATCTGTGCTAGTGCAAACATCTAAATGTTATGCAGCGTGCGAAATTAACGAGAGTCCGGAGTCAAATACTAATCGATTTACTGTCGAACTCCCTGATTTGACATATATGCAGGAGTCCGTGTGACTCCTTGAAAATTCTGCTATACTAACTAGTTCGTTCCAGAGCATGGCCTCGCAGAATTTTTTAGCAAATGTCCAAAGAAAATTTGGCAGACGTGCAACCGCATGACTCTTCAAAATAAGCGCATGTATGCGTTATTGTTAATATCTTTAGTTTTGAATTTCAGACTGCAGACTCCCTCACTTTGCTGCGGGCTCCCTCTTTTTAAGGGCAGGGAGTCCGTTGGACTCCCTTGTTCAAAAGTTAATTTCTACCCCTATTATGCCTTACAGACCTGATCTCATGTTTGTCATGGTAGCTGGAAAGTCCATGGTGTTCGGATTATGGGTGGTGATGCCAACTTCTATCGAGCCTGACCACTTGTCAACCAATCTGTCTAGCATTATCTGAAAACCATACGCATTTCTTGATGTACATAAATGAATACTGTAACAGATATCAGACTAAACAAATTTATTGTGCATTTTAATATCATAAAAAACACTTACTATAATAGTGAAATATATATATATACCGGTACTAGCTATTACCCATCCTCCAGACGGGTTTGAGTGGGGTCTGATTTGAGGATTGGCGGTTTAACCATTTATCTCTCACTTTTATTTGAGGATGTATTTACAGTAAACGAAAAATATTTAGACTCGAGTCATATATCAATATTTGTTTAAAAAAATTGTATCTAAATATATATAAAATCTGAAATTTTACCTTAAAATGAGATACAATTTTTCAGGGAAATGAAGGGTGTTTTGTTAGTTTTACAATTTCACTTATTTATATATTATTTTTGAAAATAATCATTTCTAGTTAGCAAGATCAATAATAGTCAATGTCTTAAAAGGAGAAAGATCGAGTGTTTTTGATAGGATATTGTTTCTTGAAAGTAATGGATGGTTGGCAGGCAGGGTTACACTTCCCGTTGTCATCTTGCACACCGAACACCACACACACATCACACACACAGCACACACCGCATTCACACACATACGGCAGCGCAACACATATCACCACGCGCACCAAAACAAACTTACCACATTTCACACAACGGGGCGCGCAAACATACACGCACATACAATGCAGCGTCTCTTGTTGGGGGTTTGTCTTAAAATTTTTATCGCTCACAGCTGTTCGCGCGCAGTGAATTGGTATGTTTATACACCGCAGCCGCAATGGATTTGGTGTGTGGCGTCGCTGTTGCGCATCGCGGATTTGGCGATCTTTAAATTTGGTGGGGTTTCGATGAATGACGAAGTTTCTTCGGCGAACATAACTTTTAGGAATTTGCCTCCAAGTCACGTTTACGATCGAAAAATTGTGTCTCTAAGTAAGCGGCATTATTTGGCGACGACCAGACAGGGCCCAGCTCGATTGGCGTGAATAGCAGGCCACGGTTCTTTGGAGGGATAAGAAAAGAACTTCGGTTTTCTATATTATATATAGATTCTTAATGATATTAATATATTATCGCTAAATGAATATTAAAATGCAGCAATGATCTAAAACTACGCAAAACATTTCTCTATCTGTAGGGGGCGCCAAGATGTGTCATTACCACGCCATTGTTGAACTCATCCAGGGGGCGCCTTCGTTCTGCTGTCCGCCGGTCACTACTGAGTTTAATGAGGGAGCCACATCGCTCATGGAAACAGAGTCTCTCGTCTGGTGGCTCAGGCTCCTGATGATTGCTTCCCATGGCAACCAGGCTCTCATTAATTGCCTCATTTGATATGATTCCTAGAAGAATAAATTGCTTTTCTGATTTTAGAATTGTAAAATTAAAACGTTGACAACTGATGTGTGCTGTGGATACTTTCACAGTTTCTTCAACTTGAATGAAAATAAAAGAAGCCTTTAAAGGCTCACAATGCGCATCCAAACGCTAATTTCTCCAGTACTAGACTAGCAATATTCGTGGCGAATGCATAATCACACTACTTATGACAAATAACTCTAGTTGCCTCCATTTGAGCTGCGGTTTGCTTAAAGCCAACAAGAAAGAGGTGCGAAATCAGGTAATCTGGACGCACGCTATTGTTTGCAAACACTAGCCCGATCTTGGTTTTGGTGACGTCACATGTTTGCTACAGGGTGTTGAGCAAGGAATTGTTGTCCCCGGGTAATGTTTGCATAGTGACGACAAGGCAGTCGCAGGTTCGAAAACGATCCAAGCAGAAGTCGTGAAAAAATCGTATTTGATTGTTTAGGCTTGATTATCGTAAATAGCGCGACATTGCGATAGCAGCGTGCAATGAGAAAAACGCAACGGGCCGTAGAATCTTTAGCTCAACCCGCTTGGACGTTGCCTGCAGAGCAACGCAAATTGATCACAAATCGGAGAATTTGAAAACAGTGGACGTGTATTGTTAAATACTTTTATAAGCAACTTGGCGCAGTGAATGGGAGGCACTGAGTTTTTTTGTCATCAGGTGTGTGTTATTTCTGCCACGATAGTATTTGTAGTCTAGTACTGTAGATTAGCGTTGGATGGCTTGTGAGCTTGTAACACCTCATGCCTGTATGGGATTTGGGCTCCCTGTTTCGTCATTTCGGTGTTGCAATCTAGGCAGTTAACTCAACATACATACAGATTATGGTGCAGCAAATAAAGTTTGATCGATGATCTAAATTTTTATCGCTAGCAACAAACATAGTCTGTCGTTCCCAACCTATAGGCCATATAAAATTTGTCTTGTTTGCCCTCCCGACAACTTCGCCGAAAAGGGCGACTAAAAAATTTATTGATCTTTTTTCCCATCTTTTTTTTCTTATCTCTTTTGTAAAGTTTTACAATTGTACAATGTTACATTATATTAAATCTGTGGCAATAATTTATTGTACCAAGCAAAACAAACATCTTTAACATACAGGTATCTGCCAACAGCACACGAGCATGTAGACCATGTGATTTGGTAAAAAAAAAACTCCAAAATAGCCTACTACCTACCCAAATTTTCAGCTGGGTGGGTGGAGGCACTCAACAAAATTTTTTTTAAGTGTGGCCTTATTGGTTAGAAGTGCGCTGCTCCTACATTAACTTACGCTTCAATGGTCTCTGTCACTGTCCCTGTTACACACTTGGCCATTAAAGTCGATAACGGACAAAACATCTTAGAAGGAATATCGATGCGGCTAAACAAAGTCCTGACTATCACGAAGAAGTGGAGTGAACCGGCTTCGTGGTGGCATAACACCAACTCGGTCACCTTCACATTTTACTGATCATGTATAGCCATATCCTACACGACCACTGACCGTCCATTCTGCATTGATAGCCAGCATTTATGTAGGCTTTTTGTGATGCTACTGGATACAGCCTACTAATGCACTAATGCATAGTTGGCATGAAGCGTACTTCCTTTGATTGTGCTGGGATCTCAACATAAGTTGAGATAGGGCAACTTAGCATATTCCTACTTAAATATTTGATACTGTAAATCAAATTAGGTGAAATATTATTACCTACCATGAGCACACAACTCCGTAACACCATGTGCCTTTCTGAAGTCTGCTGGCATCTGCAAGGGAACTGAGAGAGTTGTTTGGATCGTTTTTATGTTGTTCAACCTATTCTATAGAACCACTCATGATATTTATCTGAAAGCCAATTGTAAATGGAAAACATTTTTAGTAATCAGTAGCATCACACCACTTAACTTGAATCATCAAAAATTATATTTTACTAGTTATTACTCAATATAGTAGCATTAAGTTATTATTTTGGATATTGGGGAGCACAGATATCTGGTACACGTGAGATTGATTCTTTGTGACAGATATGTGTGTTATGTTGCCTGCATAGGCGTTAGCGCATTCATGACCTAAATATATTAATAGGGTGACAAATTAACGGGAGAGGTCGGAGTAAAATACTTCCCCGATTTACTGTGCGGAACTCCTTGATTGGGCATCATGCACGGAGTCGTGTGTGAACGCCCTGAAAATTAATGCCAGTACTACTAGTTCAGTCCAGAGAATGGCTGCGGAATTCTACGTATTTTCAGCTAATGTCCAAGAATTTGGCAGAGATGCAACGGCATGATCTTAAACAAGCACATGCGTTGATTGTTAATATCTTTAGTTTTTATTAGACTGGCGGATCCTCTTTTGAGGCGTAGGGAGTCCTTTGAACTCCTTGTTCAATGTTATTTCTACGCCTGGTATATGTTATCGGTATAATGTGGCAGGATAGTTTTATGGGTGAGTTAGACCTTTGTGAGCAGTGAGTAAGTGTTAGGGCTATCTTTTATTTTCTTGTTTATTCTGTGTATCACGCCAAATACAATCAAGTGCCTCAATCTTTGTATCTGGCTTAATAGCTCATTATTTTCAATTGTTAAGAATCACTAACATTTTTTCTGGGAATTCTTTTTATTTACGCCTGAAGGTCTTACATATCCTTGTGAATTTTTTTTCAATTTAATCGGCATGGGAATGTAGTAAGATAGCAGCAGCACACAGTGCTCTAGTGTTGAGCTACATCCACTTTCTAGTGATCCAAGACGAACTTCGTACCAGCGAGGTTGAAGTCACTCTGTATATCTAGGCGCTAATTCTCTCTAACACGCTGAATGGTGCCGGACAAAATTCATGTTTATGTGCGAAGCAACAGCACCCTTGGCGTCGTGTCAAAAGGAATCTGCAGTACAGACGGGCCAACGCTGAGACAGCATACAATCTCTCATCTCGGTCTAAGCTAGAGGTATCCTGTACAGTATGGACCCAATTTTTTTTTAAAACGTAGAAAAGATTGAAAAATAATCAAATTGCGCGGCAGCTAGAATTATATCACTGCAGACGATGTTATGGCGAACCAACAGGTAATGCATAGTTACAAATCCTTAATTGACCGATCTTAACTAACGCTGTCATAAGAAAGCGACTCACTTCATCAACAAAATTGCTCGTCTGAAAGTACACCGCGATCCACAGTCAGTACAGGCAGGATGCGGTCATCGCGCACAAGCGAGCAAATGACAACAAACTCGCAGTCGATTAGAACCTCAACAGAGGATTTAAGGAACTCATTCTTATGGGATGGGACTGGATGCCTGCACACAGACCGTATCGACGCATCTGATTTTCATGCAAGGTCGCCAGGCCGGGAGCACCTATTTACCATGACCACCACCGGCGTTACTAATAGGTATACGCGGTAAGCATGTACTACAATAAGATCAAGATCACCACTTATTCAATAAGTACTGAAACTAAAGCGACCAGCGCACTGGAATAAGCCTACGGCAAATAATACGAATAGCACTGGTGGGATATTCAGATATCCAACAGAAAGTCAAAATTGCAGCGGCAGCAGCCATGTCAGCAGTTTGCAGTTCGGCCAGTAGTTAGGTAATAGGGTCTATGTATCCCAGCGGTACATCGCCGGAACGTACCATAGGCAACGGTTCCGTACCGTGAACGAACCACTGGTCAACTATTTTTGATATGGTTAGATGTTAGGATTAGGGTCTAGGGTTAGGGTTCGAGGTTCGGGTCCAGCTGGCGGTTAGGGTATTAGGGAGTAGGCGTAGCGAAGACTCCTTAGATACGTTGGTGAGTTCGGCGAGGATACGGTCGGGACAGATATATATAGTACAGGAGTACGTTCGGCAAGATACCCGGGTGAATAGACCTATCAGCGTTTAGTTTAGGACAGCAAAGATAATCGGCTGCCGTTTAGGCTATGGAAGTGGTAACTAAATTCGGTATGTTATTTTACTATCACAATATTGATAATCGTCACAACCTGTGGCTGGCTTAGTCGCTAATATCCATATGTGGAACAATCTTTATCTTGTAGTACTATAGATATAGAAGGTGTTTATCATCTTCAAGTTCATGGTAATTTTACTGATGAATCAATCCATCAATCAATGTCTGAATCATTTGGAAATTTTTACTTGATGTAAACGAACCTTTTTGTCTATTGTAACTTCAAACAGCTGATCATCTTGCAATGAGTCTATGCTTATAACAACACCATTGTTAAATTCTTGCGATGGGTGATTTCTTTGAGCAGTTCGGTTGTTATTACTTAAAGATACCAAAGCACCACATTTTCTATGGAACATTGCAAAATTTCTTGCTATGCCTACCGTATTCCGAGCTTTCTTGAAATAAAAATTTACATTATTAAAATACAAGTAAAGGCTAAATATTAATATAAAGATAACATGAATTTAATTAAATATTTTGCTTCTTTACATACAATGTACAGTTAATAAATATAAAATTATTTACATAGCAGAATCATTAAAAAAGGCAAACATCTTTGAGAGGCGATGACTGTGGCGGGCAATCATGGCCACCGCTATGTATCTTGAGCATTATCTAGACAGTACGTTTGTCAAAATTATAAACGTTGTGCAATTTATGAACTCTCATTATTAGATAAACTGTTAAAATACATAGTAGGTCTAGGCTAGCTTTTAAACATAAACTATACTCTGTATCAATAATATTAGTAGTGTTCTAGTATGCGCCAACTTTGTTGTCAACTGAAAGTAGTGGTGGTAACGTTGGCGTTGTGAAACTTGTTTATGTTTGTATTTGTAAATTGTAGGCTTAGAGAGTCTGCCCATAGAGTTGAACAGAAACTTCACGTTAATGAGAGATCTAGACCAACGCGCCCTAGGTAATTTTTATGATTGTTATGATTTGGTAGTAACTACGAGTACGAATTTATACAAATGTCATGAATGAACGGGTTACTGGTTAGTAACGGGGTTCAAGGATGGAGATGATGTCCAGTACGGTGATTGGATAGGATGATGTTAGTTGATAAGAAAGGAGTGGACATCTTCTCTATCCCTGAGCCAGTAACCGTGCCACTGCAGTGCTAGTACTAGTAGACCACTACAAGTACCTACTAGTAGTAGTAATATTAAATATATTATGACCAACAAAATAGTTGTCACAGCATGATCACAGCTTTAGAGATGCCTCGGTGGCCCAGTGGTTAGGCAACTATATTGTCCATCTCTCACTCCAAAGGCTGTGAGTTCCAACCCCGACCGGTGCAGTGAATTTTCTCAAGTTGTAAAAACCTGGCTCTCAACATTGGAGACTGTGAATCTCCCGTGGCTTGGATGACCACGTAAAATGGCGGTTCCTGCGTTATTATCCACGTAATCGTGGGCTACGCAAAAAACTATCCAGATCAACACATAAACAGCATGACACAACCCCTAACATGGGTGTTGTAGGGTATAATCTATTGTCACTAACACGCACAGACACAAACACCTACATACACGCCTTAAAAATGGTTAAATCCATCTATTTGTTGGAATAATGGTGACTGTGTAACAAGGAGTGTGATGTGAAGCTCAGCAGTTATATACTATAGGTTCTGATTTAATTTGATGGTATCAATAACACATTAAATTCGTCACATAATGCGATCTGATGTCAAATGATCCGCAAACTGATAGAGTATATTCTGAACTTCAACCTAAATTTATGTACAAAATATGTTCTACTTGCTAAAATGATGTGACAGATAGTATCTAAGAAATTGCTAAATACTAATTCCGATATGTAATATATTATAGATGTATTATTATGTATATATTATGATACGTAATGTAATGTAAAATATGTGAAGGACATGCCCATATTAAACATTTTATGTAAAAAAATAAATTACAGTTATAACCAGTTTATGCGTTGTTTTTTTAACCATTACTACAGATGCACTTCGAGAAGTAGATCGAATTGCAGACGACTATCTAGCAAATGTAAGAGGTATGGTCCAGGACAAAAAGAAGGAGCAACTGGACAAGATCAACAAATTGTTTGGCAAAAGCAAAGAGTTTGGTGATGATAAAGTACAGCTTGCTATGCAGACATATGAAATGGTATGTCTACACATGAAACAAAAAGAATAGCAAAATATTGTAGCGTTTCGTGTCTCCCGGCGACACCCGATGGCGCCACCGGTCGACACTTAGTGACTAGCACACAACCTTAGGTCTTTCACTCACCTGTTGTGCCCGGAGGCGTTGAACTGGCCGTATCGTCGCCACCCGGACCCCGCTAGCCACTCGAGCGCCCCAGTGCGAAATAAATACAATTTTAATAATAAACTTTCCTTATTATGCAGACAAGAAACGTTTGCATGAACTTGTTACTACTGTGATGCTGTGCTACTACGTCTAGTCAGTACAGCGCTGAATACTAGTTTGCGCTGGTTTTTTCTAGGTTGACAAGCACATTCGTAAGCTTGATGCAGATTTGGCACGCTTTGAAGCTGACCTCAAGGAAAAATCACTGAATTCCCAGTCTGACTCAGATGTAGCACCAAAGAGTAAGTGATACAGTTTGCTGTTAATATAGGTATAGTGTGTTTAGATTATTCTTGAAAAAACAACAACAAGAAATAGGTATCTTTAAAGGCATATTAGGCCCATTGATTATGCAATGTTGACGAATGCTAGAGTAACTGGCACCTTGTGTAGTTCATAAGTACATAATCTTATAGCCAAACGCGTATTAGTTTGTCCAATATCACTGCTGGTGACATTACAAACAAGACTTGAAATCGGTTGTTGATATTCATTTACGTGCCGTAAATGTCATCCAGGAGTCAAGCGATGACGTAAACATTTGTGCGGCCCGTATGTGTTGGACGCCAGATGAAATGGAGGTGTCAGCGGTGTAACCACGGCCACGGACTAAACATGGAAATGGAGTATAAAACACGTACTAATCATGGACGCACATGAGCAGCCCTGACAAAAAGTTCCTCATCACGAGCGTCCGTATTTACGAAATCACTGATGATAGCATTGCGTACGGCCGAGCATGCATGCGAAAATGTCCCGTGCACTATAAATCTGTATCACATTTATATGCCGCTTCGCCGGCAGCGGTTTGAAACTTTAAACAACTGATTTCTTGGACTGCGGATTTCGATTAGACATTTCTTAGTAACCAGCAGTGATATTGGACAAACTAATACGCATTTGGATGTAAGGTTATGTACTTATTAACTACACAAGGTGCCAGTTACTCTAGCATTTGTCAACATTGCATAATCAATGGGCCTAGTATGCCTTTAATAGATAATATTTTCTTGGGTAATCTAATACAGTAAAACTCGCGTGAGTCGACATCGTCTAAGTCGTCAATTCACGTAAGTCGACATGGAAGTCAAAGTCCCGATTCACTCTCATAGTAAATCCTTTGGAATAGCCTCGCCTAAGTCGACATTTATAAGTCGTCATTATGTACAAGTCGACGCCCTCAGACAGGTCCCATATAATACAAACAACAGTAATTTCCCATCTATAAGTCGACTTCAGAAATGCCGATGGCGCAGTGTACGGTCTAGGGAATGCACGAGCTGGCTGTCGCAGACAGATTGTTTGAATCGCATTGTTTGCTTGGACGTATTGTATTTTTTTCCAGCTCGTAGCTCGCACACCCCCAGATTCCCCACTGTATACAGTGTAGTATATGGTGTATGCAGCCCAAAATTAATGCAGGATGCGAAATTAACGCGAGTGCGGATCAAGTCAAATACTCCCTCATTTACTGTCGGACTCCCTGATTTGACATATGCAGGAGTCCGTGTGACTCCCTGAAAATTAATTCTGCTATACAGTACTAACTAGTTTGTTCCAGAGCACGGCCTCGTGGAATTACCGTATTTTTTCTAGCAAGTGTTCCAAGAAAATTTGGCAGACGTCCACCGCAAATGTCCTGCTACTCAAGCCAGCTAATACAGTGTATACGCGCATTACATACATTGTATAAGTCGACAAAATGACGACTTACGCGTAAGTCGTCATTTTCGTAAGTCGACACAAATATGCGGGTCCCAAAACAAAAGTGTCGACTTATGCGAGTTTTACTCTACTATATTATGCAATAATGTACTCTTAAATTCAAACCTATTCCTAACATCTTATCCTCTAAACATGTGGCTTAGCCAGAAACCAATCTTGTCACTAAGTGCGAGCCCATGATAAGAACATTTGTTTAGATGGTGGTGGAGGTTATTGTATTATGATTGATTACAGAGGGACGTGGAAGAGAAAAAAGTGAAAAGGGAGGTAAAAAGGCAGGAAGAGGAAGAGGAAGAATGCAGGTATCTGATGACGAAACGCCGAAGATGTCTCGGAAAAAGATGAAGACGCAACAGCCAATGTACGTAGCCTAGACCCAGTAATGTACATAGCCTAGACCCAGTAATGTACATAGCCTAGACCCAGTAATGAATCTAAAGTGATAATGTAACCTACACTAACTGCATAAAGTCACAGCCATGTAAATGTCTTTAGGAATTATAAAATTGCACGTGAGCTGTAGGTATATGCTTTTCCTTTGTATGGTGATAATTAATGGTGTGTACATTGTCTTGATCATGGGGTTGTTTATGCATTCTAACCTGTGTTGTTTATTTTCAGGCCGGAGTCGCCAATTGCTGGAGCATTAGCAGCTTTACCAATGTCCATCACCCATCCTTCAGATGTGTTAGACATGCCCGTCGACCCCAACGAGCCTACTTACTGTCTTTGCCACCAGGTGTCGTACGGAGAGATGATTGGGTGTGATAATCCTGATGTAAGTAAAGTTCAATAGTATTAATTATATTATTTAAGTATAAATGCTATGTATTTTACAGGGGAACATTACTGCATGTTTATTATATATTTTCAGTTAAACTCCGTCTAAATTATGCTTATTCTGGCTTAATGTTCAAAAGAAATATTTTTAAGTTCAACTTTGTCAAGGGTTAGCACTGTTATTTAATATCATATCAGTTTCCGCAATTAATTAATTCTTTTTTTTATAAACAAGTTAATATTTCTGTGATAAGAGAAATATATAGGTATATACAATTTTTCATGCAGTATCATATTATACTGTTATACTCCTGAATTTTAGACTAATGTTCCTCTTTAATAGAATACCGACTGTCAAATGATAGTTTCTTCTGAGAGGAAAACGAAATACTGTTTACTTATTAAGAGGTTATCATGGTTTATAAGAGTGCACACGTATGAGTAACCTTGCCATTTTGCACAGTTTTGTAATGAGTCGTGCCTGGTAATTAATTTCAGTGTCCGATCGAATGGTTTCATTTCGCTTGCGTCGGACTGACTACAAAGCCAAAAGGAAAGTGGTTCTGCCCTCGATGTACACTAGAACGAAAAAAGAAGATGTGATCTTTTTCCATTTGCTGCACGTCCAGATATCTGCCATGACCAGACTCTGCATTGGCTTGCTTTCATACTTGCACAGCTATTGTTGGATCCATTCACTTTTTGGTGCACTTCCTTTCTCTAGGTAAGGAATTGCTTGAATTGGTTTGGTGGACGATGCTCCCTTGTAACCCGCTACATACCCTAGGTATTTGTCCCTGGTTTGTTGTAGTTGACATTATGTTTCCCATTGATTGTCTCGTGTAGAAATGTTTCTGGCTGCTATGGCAAACAATCTGCTGTCACAGAAAAGAATGCACTTTATAAAATAGGTTTATGATACTCAATTTTGTATGTATGTAGGTGCATACCGTAAGGGGCTTCTAAGCCAATGCTATCTGAAGTAGATGGCCTGTAAGAGCAAAGGTGGTTTGTGTATGTATGTAATAGTAAGTAAATGTATGGATAGCAAGAAGAATCAGTTCACATTGGTGAGGGCCTGCTTGCCCATCACCGCATGATTTACGGAGAGAACATTTTTTCAGCACATTGAACACAGCGTTGCATAAAGTAACTGACTCGCCACGTGTTTGTGAATGTGTGAGTGTCTGCTTATGTAAATGTATTGGCACTGTCATGCTTCATTTGCCATCATCCAGTAGTCGGTTCATGATCAGTATGCTTTCTTACATTCCAAAGAAATCCTTGCACCTTTAGCTATTTATTTGAAATGTGTTAATTTCAACATTCAAGTTACTAGGCCTATATCTTCGAAGGGGTGATTACTCCCAGTTTCATTGCACACTGTGCTTGTATTATGTCTACAGTTTCCTGGGTTCTTTGGCTAATTTAGGACAGCAATGCAAATATTCTCTGTAAGTATTTTGTAAAATTGAAATGATCTACTTATGATATTAATGCTATCAGGAGTAGATAATAGAGGATCTATTATCTACTTCTGATGCTATTATTATATGTTCCATTCATAGTGTATTAATAAAAGGTATTTATTTTAAATATGCTATGAACATGCAAGACTGCTAAAACTACGTCCCGTAATAGAATTGCGTCATTCCATAGTGTGTACAATCATAGTTTCCCTATCCAATTACGATTTTTTGTATGCTGCAAATTATGTAAAAAGTGTTGTGTTAATGAGCCATGTGAAACATTTTAATCCGTTTTTTTTTCAATTACAATATGATGAGTTTTTGGCTTACAAATAAAATCTGTAATTTTACATTTCTTACCATGCTTTATGCTTTTTATATTGTTAGTATATAGTCATAGATATTTTTCTCATATTGATATTATATACTAATGATTAGGATTATAAATTGCAATAGAAAATGTTTCATTTTTTCAGTAATAACAATTGTAATAACAACAACAACTAGAGCACTCGGAGAGCACAGACCTCCGCCAAGGCAGCTGAATTCTCTCAATGTAAAATTTTTCATTAATTAATTAATTAAGTGGAAAAATCAATTAATTAAATAATTAATTGGATCCGGATTAGTGCGAGCGTGCAGGTGGGGGAGGACTGTGGTTGCCCCTTAGCCTGTGGTTGCGTGTTTGTAAGTCTACAGCCAGCGCACCTAGCGGAAGTGAACTGAAACGTGCATGTTAACAAACCCACAAACACAAACCAACACTCAAACACACGCCAGTGAAAACATAACCCCCGCCAAGCCCCTGGCGGAGGTAATAATGTATTGTTAATTAATTTATGTGATTAGTTAGTTCGTAACTTATTCGGTATGACTACAGGGACAAAAAGTGCGATATTAACGCAATATCGGATCAAGAGCATTTTAAGTGGGAATTTTTAAAGGGAGAGTTTACTCTAGGTTCTAGGGTTATTTTCAGCTAATTTAGGTTATAAATTCGCTAACATAAAAAAGTTATGTACCGTTCAATCACCCGTTAGAATGATGTGTTTTTTGTAATGTTTAAAAACTAAAGCGCTACAGTTTGATTACAACGACTGGTGGCAGCCACTCAAAGCGCACGATCTTATAAGTTGCGAAAACTACTTTCCAGCCAAGGGCTACAGACGGAGCGGTGTTTCTTATTTTATTCATTTAAAAGCAAAGGATTGTCAATAATCTCATAAACGACATATAAGTTTCAGTTATAAAATGATAAATTTGCGCCTAAAATGAATATCGTTCGATTAATAGCATTAGGTATAAAATATAATTGGCAATTTTGTGATTAGCCCTCGTTCTGTCAACTGCAAAATTAAATTGTCAAATACGCCAATTTTTTCGGACGGTATGGCGCAGTCGCCGGGTTTATGGCGCCGTTTCAAATTTTCGCTTAGCGTTGATGTGTTATTTAATTAATAACAATTTAAAGTTAAGTAGGTGTATCTTGGTAAAATACGTGTGGGTATAGACCGATTTGTTATACAGTAGTCGCAGTTGTATGCCCAATAAAATCCTAGGAGGCTACTGCTCCTTTAACAACTATTTTTTCATCGCTCAGGCAGGCTGTCGTGCTCGTTGACGTTATACACACCATTTTCTACCCGTAAGCAAGACGTTTTTCTTGCGCTACTTTAACAGTATATATAATAGGAAGTACGATATAGAAGAGCATTAGGAGCTATAGGTTCCCTTATGCTAACTCTCTGATCTTGCCGGAGTAATGAACTTTACAAACGTTATTTAGCTTATGTCTTACTGCATAAGAGGATGCGGCGAGCCATTGTGACTCGACCACATTGCGACCCGAATATGTCAGCGCTCATAAATTAGCAAAAATTGAGCAAGCGCGCATTTTTTTATTACTATCGGTATTTCTTCTATTTTTTGCGCTTGAAAGTAAAAAGCGTATTTATTTAATGAAACATCCAGTTGAAGAACATTGCGAGACGCTATACAGGTTAATGTAGCCATATTACCCCATAGCGATCTTGTAGTCTTGCAGCATTGCTGGGCGGGGCTACCCAGTGCCAGTGGGTGGGGCTCCTACTCAGTCGTAGGTTCTATGTCCCCCAGGCCCAGGGTACTGCCGCCAGTGCCGCGGCAAAGTTGACCCTGCGTAACTATCTGATATTGTGTCTGGGTTAGGGAGTAGGCGTAGGGCGGACTTCCTAGACTCCGTTGTGGAGTCAGGCGAGTACGGTCGGCATATTATATCAGTACCAGGGTACGTTCCGGCTTGTCAACGGTCTGAGAATTAACCCCAGTCTGAAAATTACCCCTGCAACTTCGCCTGCTCCATTGCGTGACGCATGCCGCGAGTAGGCTGTGATATGAGACGTAGCCGGCGGCACGAGTCTGAGCATTAGTCTGGCCAGTAGGTGGGTATTCACGACTGGGTAATCTCAAACCGGTGTTCACGCGTCTGAGATACTACCCCCAGTCTGGAAATGATACCCCTGCAAATCTTACCCGGTTCCATAGGAGGGTTCAGGATGAGGAGGAGGCTGGAAGAGAGAGGTGATGGAGGAGGAGGAGGAGGAGGAGGACGGAGGAGGGGAGGAGGAGACGGAAGGTGTGGCAGGGGAGGAGGAGGAGGAGGAGGAGGAGGAGGGACGGTGATGGAGATGAGGGCAGGAGGAGGCGAGGAGGAGGAGGCGAGGAGGAGGGAGAGAAGGTGATGAGAGGAGGGAGGAGAGGAGGAGGAGGAGGAAGAGAAGGATGTATGGTAGGAGGAGGGAGGAGGAGGAGGGAGGGGGAGGAGGAGGAGAGAGGAAGGTGATGGAGAGGGAGGAGGAGGAGGAGGGAGGCAGAGGCTGATGGAAAGCCAGGGAGGAGGAGTGCGAGGAGGAGAGAAGGTGATGGAGAGAGGGGAGGAGGAGGATGGAGGAAGAGGGAAGGTGATGGAAGGAGGGGGGGGGAGGAAATGGAGGAGGAGGAGGAGAGAAAGGTGATGGAGGAGGAGGAGGTAGGAGGAGGATGGGGAAGGTGATGGAGGAGGCGAGGCAGGAGGGGGAGGTGATGGGGAGGAAGGAGTGAGAGAGAGAGGTGATGGAGGAGGGAGCGAGGGGAGTGAGGAGGAGAGAGTGAGAGAAGGTGATGGGAGGAGGGAGGAGGAGGAGAGAGGAGGAGGGGGAAGAGTGGGAGGAGGGAGCGAGGAGGGGAAGGTGAATGGAGGAGGGCAGGAGAGGGAGAACGAGAAGCAGTGATGCGAAAGGAGGGAGAAGGACGCGAGGAGGAGAGGAGCCCCGGAGCTGTAAGAGAAGTGATGGAGACGGCGAGGAATGCGGAGAGATAGGAGGAGAGAATGGCTGTGGTTGAAGAGGGAGGGGAGGAAAGGAGGCGAGCAGGAGAGAGAGAAGGTTGATCGGAGGAAAGGGGGAGGAGGAGGAGGGGAAGGTGATGGAGGCGGGAGGAGGGAGGAGGGTTGGAGGAGAGGTAGGAGGAGGGGAGAAGAATTGATGAAGTACGGGGGGGACGAATGAGGGGAGAAGTCGTGTTGGAGTAGGGAGAGGAGGAGGAGCGAGGGAAGAAGGTATCGAGTTAGACGGTGGAGGAGAGGGGAGAAGGGAGGCGGGGAAGCTGCTAGAGAAGGAGGGGGGAAGAGAGAAGCCTGGTGGAGCCAGGAGGGAGTCGACCGTTCTCCCCTCCTCTCCAACCAGCTTCTCCCTATCTCCCCCTCCTCCTTCTTCCACCAGCTTCCCCCTCCTCCTTTCCAACACCTTCTCCCTTCTCCCCCTCCTCCTTCTCCACAGTTTCTCCCTTCTCCCCCTCCTCCTCCACCAGCTCCTTCTCCCCCTCCTCCCTTTCCTCCTTCTCCACCAGCTTCTCCCTCCTCCTTCTCTACCAGCTTCTCCCCCTCTCCACCTTCTCCCTTCTCCCTCCTCTCCACCAAGCTTCTCCCTCCTTCTCCACCACCTTCTCTCTTCTCCCCTCCTTCTCCACCAGCTTCTCTCCCTCCTCTTCTACCACACCTTCTCCCTTCTCCCCTCCTCCTTCTCCACCAGCTTCTCCCCCTCCTTCTCCACCACCCTTCTTCCTTCTCCCCTTCCTTCTCCACCAGCTTCTCCTTCTCCTTTCTCACCACCTGCTCTTCTCCCCTTCCTCCTTCTCACCAGCTTTCCCCTCCTCCTTCCCCACCAGCTTCTCCCCTCCTCCTCCACACCTTCTCCTCTTCTCCCTTTCCTCCTTCTCCAACAGCTTCTCCCCCTCCTCACCACTTCTCCTTTCTCCCCCTCCTCCCCTCCTTTTCCCTTCTCCCTTCTCCCCCTCTCATCCACCAGCTACCTTCTCCCCCTCCTTCTCTCCTTCCTCCTTCTCCACCAGCTTCTCTTCCTCCACGCACCTTCTCCCTTCTCCCCTCCTCCACCACTTCTTCCTCTCTCCCCTCCTTCTCCACCAGCTTCGCCCCGGCCTCCTTCTTCACCACCTTCTCCTTCTCCCCTCCTCCTTCTCCACCAGCTTCTTCCCCTTCCTTCCACCAGCCTTCTCTCTTCTCCCTCCTCCTCCACCAGCTCCCTTCTCCCCTCCTTTCTCCCTTTCCTCTTCTCCACCAGCTCTCCCCTCCTCCTTCGCACAGCTTCTCCGCTTCTCCACCACCTTCTCCCTTTCTCCTCTCCTCCTCCACCAGCTTTCTCCCTCCTTCTTCCACCACCTTCTTCTCCCCTCCTCCTTCTCCAACAGCTTCTCCCCCTCCTCCTTCTCCAACACCTTCTCCTTCTCCCCTCCTTCTTCTCCACCAGCTTCTCCCTTCCTCCTCCACCACCTGCCTTCTCCCTTCCTCCTTCTCCACCAGCTTTCTCCCTTCCTCCTTCTCCACCACCTTCTCCCTTCTCCCCTTCCTCCTTCTCCACCAGCTTCTGCCTTCTCCCCTCTCCTCATTTCCTAGCCATATTGAGTCGGTCATACGCCGCGTGGCGTATAGCCATATTGAATCTGGCCCACACGGCCGCCGTGCGTATAGTCACTTCCGTGTTGGAGGCAGCCATAATCCAACATGCTTCCTGTCCGTATTTTGACCAAATGGCTAAATACTGTAATACAACAACTTTGCGGTAAAACAAAATGGCGTTAGTAAGACGCTGATGCTGTGACGTGGCCAGATCTCATGTCTAACCAATTGCTATTTTTTGCTTTACCTGCAGCTTTACACCTCAGCACCTTCCCCGTGCGCCACCTCCGTGCCGCACGACACCAACACCCAAAAAAAACCCGCCGATGCGCAGTAGGCGCTAGAGGTAAATTTTCAGACATGGCGGGTAATTCTCAGGACCCGATCACCGGTATACCGGCACCAGATAGCCCGACTGTACGTTCTGCCGTTACCCTGGGGGACATAGACCCTCTCAGCCCAATACACGATTGGCGATTCTGCGCCTATGTTCTGCGCCGGGTAGTTTCAGCATCCTCGCGGAGAGCCCGATGTGCGAGAAAAATCCTGCCATGTTGTTATTATCTCGATGCAGTTGTCTACCTTGCATACGCAGCGGGTCGCTCACCTTTGTGTGTCGAAAGAGCGTGCCCGTGGCCAGCCGGGAATGAGCACCGGATAATGGATGACCTGCGAGTGACATGAGGACACTTGATGTACATTTTAAGTTATGCGTCAATTTATGCTCTAAAAGTCTTTACTTAAGCCAATACGATCCGTTTGAACAGCCCTTCACACTACACGTTTCACACGAGTAAAGAATTTTACTCGCAATTCTGGGACGGAAACTCCTCCCGACCTTTGACCTTAGGCTTAAGCGCATGCGCAGTGTTAAACTGTCAACGGGTGTATGGGCGTAGGCAGTACACCCCAAATACAGCTGGCAAGATAATAAATATGCTGCCTCACGCACACTGCACAGCTAGGCACTTGAAACGTTTGAATAACAAAATGAAACTAAATTAACACGAAATTGGTTTAATATCAACGTCTCAATGTTTCTGTATTATACTCTCTATCGACTAATAATTCTACATAAATGCTGGGCAAATGCTCCTTTGCAACACGCAATCTCTCCACACGTACACCACTAACCTCGTAAATGTTAAGTCTTCAAAGTCCAATGGACTATATCGAAGACGGAAAGAGACAAAGTTGATCAAATAGGCAGATCAACACTGCAAAAAACCACTGTGCATAAACTCGCAGAAAGATAGAACAGGTGGGAAAGCGTGCGTACAAAAGTCGCACAATGCTCGCTTCGTTTCACACTGTCACAGCAAAAATTATACACAAAGAACCGCCTCCATTTTTATATTCATGAGTAGCCGAACGTTGATTTGTTCGAGTTATAACTCTGCAATTTGGCACAGCATACTTTACCCAGAGAAGTGTGGTTTGACACTTGTGATCAATGCAATTGTGAAAATTGAGCCCTGCTATGGCATAGGTTGGGACTCTGAAAAGTTTATGAAATTGTAATACATGTAGAAATCAGGGGAAAAGAACACAAAAACTTGTCTAACCTCACAATGGGTGTGAAGCTCATGAAGCGATCTACAATGTATGTTAAAAAGAAAATCATTTTCTGGAAAGATGTGGATAAGAGATTGTAGTAGAATATAGTGCAATCCGGTACGTCCCCAAAATGTGTCAATGGCTTTCAAGGCTCACAGCTGCATGTAGGTTTGCAGTTGTCCTTAAGTAGATAATTTTCAAGTGTTCAAAGTAGCCCCACTTGACGGTACTGAGCAGCCATCGGTTTGATCGATATAATATAAGATTTTTATCTTTTAGTTTTTAAACCAGAGAAAGCATTCAATCATATAATCAGAGATTTTCGAAAGAAGTATCCTGGTCACATTCTTCCGGATGAAGACCTTCAATGGATATTCGTGAATGCTGGTGGGTGGATGGGGTCCATGTGCGTCCTACATGCATCAGTCACTGAGTACGTCCTCTTGTTTGGAACAGCAATAGATACAACTGGACACTCAGGTATGGACAAGATTCGTATGCTTTAGCGTGAAACAGAAAATGTGAAACTTTATGGAGAACATATAGGCACTTTGTTTGCAAATATAAATTTCTCTTCAAAATTACTTTGAGTGCATTTTGATTTTAAAAACTGCTTATTTTAGCTTCATTTGCAGATGAATGCTATAGTGTGCTGACATAATTGTGCAATTTATATCAGGTAGCTTACAAGTAATTAACTGCAGAGGTTCGAAGCACGTGATATGGAATATGCCTGATTCGTCATCATTAAGAAACAAAAATAATAGCTGGGTCGGTAAAACCAGGAAATACTCGTTCTACTACATCTGTGCAAAACTGTCTGAATATATATGTGGATGTTGTTCTTTGTGCAGGTAGATATCTGGCTAACATAACCGACACCATCCTTAGTGGCACATTCACCCAGTGGAAGGAAGGAGAGCTACGAGCGGAGACGTATAATGGAGGTTATCTATGCCTATTCATTCCTATTGATATTATGTTCTATAGCATTTTAAAATATGGAAAGGGAGTGATAAGGCCGACCTAAAAATTACCTTTGGTTCGGGTCACCCGCCCGACTTCACATTTCGGAGTGATAAAATGTGCGACTGCGGTCACTTTTAGAGGGTTTCAAGAAAAAATAAAATTCAAAGATACCGCCTGCCGATCATACATATTTTAACCTTCACACTAAATATATATGTGTCGCCGCGCTATATATAGGCATTGTTATCCACCCAAATTAATCTATGGTGTGGGGATAACCCGACCAGGCTGTGTGACTAACGTCAATACGTTAGGTACGCTATACGCTATACGCTAACGTCAATACGCTAGGTATTCTAACCCTAGCAATACCGTTTCCTGGAGCTAGTGTGGGGACAGATATCATGATGCAAAAACCCTAACCCTAATCCTAATCCTAATTCCCTAACCCTAACCCTAACCCTAACCCTAATCCTAATCCTAATCCTAACCCTAACCCTGACCCTAACCCTAATCCTAACACTATCCCAACACTAGTGCTGCCACGTTGCGGTCACCTCCCTCTACGCCCGGGGGATAGCAACACCCAAATTTCGTAGCGTTGATGTATAATTAATTATAACAATTAAATTAGGGTAACAAATACGTGTGGGTATAGACGATTTGTTATACAGTAAGTGCAGTTGTATGCAATAAAATCCTAGAGGCTACTGTCCCTTTAACAACTATTTCATCGCTACCAGCAGGCTGCAGCGTCTGACGTTACACAACATTTCTAACCCTAGCAATACCGTTTCTTGGAGCTACTATTAAAGCTACATATTATCAGAAGTAGATAATAGAGAGATAGGGCTAATAGGTTCCCTATTATCTACTTCTGATATTAGCAGGAGTAAATAATTACAAACGTTATTTAGCTATGTCTTACTGCATAGAGATGGCGGTGTGATCGACCACATTGGACCAATATGTCAGCGCTCATAACTTTAGCAAAATTGACAGCGGCATTTTTTATACTTCGGTATTTCTCTATTTTATGGCTTGAAAGTAAAACGTATTTATTTAATGAAACATCAGTTGAAGAAATTGCCAGACGATATACAGGTAATGTAGCAAATTACCCATAGCGAATCTTTAGTCTTCAGCATTGCTGGGCCGGTGTCACGGTCTGAGATTACCCCCAGTCTGAAATTACCCCTAGCACCTCGTGCGCATGCGTGACGCATGCGCAGTAGCGCTGGATAATGAGACTGCCGCGGCCACAGTCTGAGATTAGTCTGGCAGTAGGAGGGTAAATTCAGACTGGGGTTCACGGTCTGAGATTACCCCCAGTCTGAAATTACCCCTAGCACCTCATGCGCATGCGTGACGCATGCGAAGTAGCGCTGGATAATGAGACTGCCGCGGCCACAGTCTGAGATTAGTCTGGCA